TTGAAAACCTCTTTTAAATATTATGCTGACCCGATGGAACCTCCCCATTGACCCTACCCCATCCGCGAGAAAATTTTCATAAATTGAAAACTTTTTTTTTTTTTTGAGATTACACCCCACCTCCTAAGGATTCACATCATATTTGTGACTAACTGTGTTATCTGTGACCATTTTTTACAAGACATGTATTTTATGTGACTAATGACCAAATTTATCTTCAGTGTGACTATCTAAGATCGTCTAATTTGTGATTGTATATAACCAAATCACTAATCTGTGCTATTTATGACTATCTGTGACCAAATTTATTTTTAATGTGATTATACGTGATCAAATTTATTTCCAATGTGTCTGTCTGTGATCGGATTAATCTTAACTGTGACGATATGTGATCAAATCACAATCAACGCAAAATTGATCACAAACAGTCATAAAGCACAACTTTTTTAGGTTGAATCTTTTTTATCAATCGCAAATTATTAAATCAGCAAAACTGTTTGTACAGAAATGGTTTTGCCAGAAAGTCACCACAGTACTCACAATGCTGAGCCCCACCTTGTATTTAAAAAATAAATAAATTATGCGGGCCCCACCTTGTGTGTCTTCTCTGTTGGCTTTTTGTGACCTCTGCTTCTGTACACGAAGCAGGGCTCTTATTAAATTAATTGATCACGACTTTTTTTTGTCACAAAATCTCACATTTTATATGTCACAACTTATTTATCATCGGTAAAAAATTCTCAAATTAATTGATCACAACTTCTTGTCCGCCGCCAATTATCAAATTAATTGATCATATCTATTTTCTTGATCACAAATTATTAAGTGCTTATTTGGTAGGGATTTTTGGGGAGAATAATTGATTTTGAATAGTGATATGATGGGAAATGTGTGGTTGAAAAAGAAAAAAATTATTGATGTGATGGAAAATATTATTTTATTGAAAAATGTGTGGTTGAAAATGAGAATTGATTTACTGTAGAATTTGAGAATCTCAAACAAACAACCTCTTAATATTAAATGGG